GTCTTTGATATCTATTACTGAGTGGAGGGATATAAACAAGGCAAGGCATTCCTGGAATATGACCCAATGCAGAAACATGATCCAGAAGGGTGAGTTGGAAAAGGAAGGACACAGTGCCACATGGGATCTCCCTTCTTGCCATATACTAATATTGTATGTAACCTGATTTTACCTAGGTAACCAAGGTCTGGGGACATGAAGTCTTTCCCTTTTATGGGTTCTCCTAAGCACTCACTACTTAGACATCAAATCACTGTCTAGACAGGACAGGTTCATTCAAGGAATATAGAGTTATTTAATTCAAGAAAATATATTTACGTTTGTGGGCATGAGAAAGGAGATGCTAAGTGAAATACCCAATTGATAAGTGAACATTATTTAAAATTAGAAGAACTTGGAAAAGGCACAGGTTTATCTGGTGAGAATAAAAGGAAATGACCAGTTTTGTGAAGGGGAATCATATCTCTAGGAAGTTTCAAGATGGGAAAATGCTCATATATGCTAGAGGGAAAAAGAATATTTCAGAAAAGAGAGAAGAAACATCATCTTACCTGAGGCATTGCTTTAAGATTTTCAAGAGAGGACCTTTTATTCTTTTGGATTCTTTGTTAGAAAAGTGAACAGGGGAGAGAAAAGAGAGGTAAAAGAAGCAATGTTAAACCCTACTTACCATAGAGTTTCCATAATAACTTGGTTAAATCTGCCTAGTTAAGTAGTAAACATTTACTATTAAGTATTAATTATCATTGTATTAAATATTAACTATTCAGTAATACAGGTTTGAGTAATAGAGAAGAAACTGATTATGTACTTTTCTGCACTGCAGGCTCCAGTCACATGGAATAAATTTTTCCTTTAAATGAAGTTTCAAATATTAATTTTTACAGTAAATATTTTTATCAGAGAATAAGACTGTGATTAGAAGTATTTCAGGGTATTTAGAGTGTCTGAAAAAGTTATTAAATCACCATGATTTCATCTAGGAAAAGGGGGGGAACCTGTCAAATCTGTTAAAAGAAGTACATAGAGATAAAAAGTATTTTTCTTTTGTGCTACCTACTGAATCCTGGTCATTTCTCTTTTAAAAAATTTTCCTGCTTGGGGCGCCTGGGTGGCTCAGTTGGTTAAGCGGCTGCCTTCGGCTCAGGTCACAATCCCAGGGTCCTGGGATTGAGCCCCATGTCGGGCTCCTTGCTCAGTGGAGAGCCTGCTTCTCCCTCTCCCTCTGCCTGCTGCTCCCCCTGCTTGTGCTCTCTCTCCCTCTGTGTCAAATAGATAAAATCTAAAAAAAAAAAAAAATTTTCCTGCTCAGTTCAAGACATTAGGATTATTTAATATGGTGTTCCTAGTATGTGATCCTATTATCTGTAATTTTACCTCTTCCCAATTCTTTTTTAAAAAAATATGTGTTAAGTTTAATGTTTACAATGTGATGATTTTATTTTTTATTTTTTTTATTCACAACTTTTTTTTTTTAAGATTTTATTTATTTATTTGAGAGAGAGAGAATGAGAGAGAGCACATGAGAGGGGGGAGGGTCAGAGGGAGAAGCAGACTCCCCGCCGAGCAGGGAGCCCGATGCAGGACTCGATCCCAGGACTCCAGGATCATGACCTGAGCCGAAGGCAGTCGCTTAACCAACCGAGCCACCCAGGCGCCCTATTATTTTTTTAAATGTAGAGTTTGTCACAAACAGATTTTTTTTTTAAGATTTCATTTATTTGTCAGAGAGAACAAGCAGGAGAAGCAGCAGGCAGAGGGAGAAGCAGGCTCCCCACAGAGCAAGAAGCCCGATGTGGGACTTGATGATTTTAAACATGTATATATTATGAAATGATTACCACCATAAGGTTGGTTAACACCTCCATCCTCTCATATAATTACCTTTCTTATTTTTGTGGTGATAATGCTTAAGATCTAATCTCTTAACAACTTTCAAGTACATAATACACAGTATTGTTAATTATAGTCACCATACTGTACATTAGGTTCTCTAGAAATTACTCATTTTTTGTATTCTTTGACCGATATCTACATTTCTTCTACCCTCCTAACCCCTTGGCAATTACCATTCTACTCTCTATTTCAATTAATTTGGTTTTTTAGATTTCACATGTAAGGGAGATCATACAATATTTGTCTTTCTCTGACTTTCACTTAGCATATGCCCTCAAGGTCCATCCATGTTGTCACAAAAGGTATGATGTACTTCATTTTAAAGGCTGAATAATATTCCATTACATATATATATACACATTTTCTTCATTCATTCATCCATCAGTGGACACTTAGATTACTTCCATGTCTTGGCTGTTGTTAAGAATGCTACAGTGAGTATGGGACTGCAGATATTTCTTCGATATCCTCATTTCCTCTGGATATCTCTATACTGCTATTTTACTTGATTAGAAACAGTCATAATTCTGGAAGCAGAATCAAAATGACACATACCTAAAGACAGAGCGCTTCCCAATTATTCATTAATACCACTTACATAGTGATCTAATTTCATAGTCATCGTGGAATACACAAAATCATGATAAATAAGAGTTTGTACAGACACAGTTTCCTATATCTCATCCATTTTACAAAACCACAAACCCATGGACCTTACATGACATTCATAACTCCACTAAGCCCATCTCATAATTCCATACAAGAATACCAAATCGATCTTGGAAACCACTTACTGAATAGTCACATTGAGTCTCAAACACAAGTCACTAATCATTCTGCAAGGTTTATCAACTTCTTAGAAAGTTAAATATAAACTGACCTATTACCCAGCATTTTTTTCTTTTAGGTATTTCCCCAGGAGAAATGGAAACATGTCAGCTTTATTCGTAACATAGAAAACCTGGAAATACAACAAATGTTCACCAAGAGAAAAATGAATAAACAAATTGTGGCATATTCACACAATTGAATGCTGTCCATAAATAAAAAGAATGAGCTACACAACATTAATAAAGCTTACAAAACTAGGATGTGCAAAAGGAGACATATGTAATTGCAGAACTGACAAAACTAAATTACGGCGACGTATCTCAGAACGATGGCTGTCTGTCGTGAGACTGACTGGAAAAGGACACCAGAGAACTTCCTGGCAGTGACAGTATAAAACCCGCACCAGGGCAGGCATACACATACTGAGCATCTGCTCAGTGCCAGATGCCATTCTAGGTGCTGCGGCTTTCTCAAGGGGCAAGAGTGACAACAAAACTCGTCACCCTCTGGTTCACGACCACGGACCTGGGGTCCCGCACATACAGGCCTGAGTGAAGAGAAACCTCGACAGGCACCGGCTCCCGGTTCTCGCCTCAGCCATTTCCGCCCAACCTGCGGTACCCGCTTCAGCCCTTCTTGGCCCGACCGCCCTCAGCACGGATTTCTGATTCCCTCCTTGGTCCTCCTCGACCAGGTTCCTGATTCCCTCTTTTCTCCTCAACGCTCCGGGTTTGGGGATTCCGGTTCTCAGCCGGTCCTCCCGACGCAGGCTTCTTCTGTCTTCCTCCTCGCCCCGCCTCCGGTAGGCTTGCGCTTCCCTTTTCCTTCTTTCCCCCGCCCAGGTTTCCAATTTCTTCCTTGGCGGGGCTCTAGTTCAACTCAGGAACCCTCGCTCCCAAAAAATCATCACCCGGCTCTTCGGCGTCTGGAGAACCGCCAGCGGCAACCCTCCTCCGCGCCGGAGGAGCGACCCGCGCACCCTGGAACTCCCAGGAGTCTCCGGGGCGTGGCGGGACTTTGCGACCGCTGCCCTCCCCGCTGCGCTCGAAAACCTGGACATTTTCAGTGTTGGACTACGTTTCCCACAGGCCCCAGGGCGACGAATGAACTTCGACTTTTGGTTCCCCTTCCGGTATCGTCGTGCTTATTGGGGCATGCCTGGTGAGTTGAGGTGACCCAGGTCGGGTTGCGGGAGGGGCTCGCGGTGTGGAGGCCCTAAGCTCCGGGGGCTGGGGGTGGGGCAGGTGGAGCCAAGGGTCTCGTCCCAGTGTTTGCGTGAACCCCGGACGACGTTGGTTTCCGGTGCTTTGTGACGAGTTTATTGTGGGGTGTTAATGCACGCGCGTGCATGCGTGTGAGTGAGAGTGTGTGACGGGCCCTGGAGTGCCCAGACTGGTATACTATTGGGCTAGTGGGACTATCAGTACATTGTCTACGGTGATGTGGGTATCTGGTACTGTGACCGAGTAATCCTCTGACAGCTCGGTTGTACCGACTGCTAAGTTTGAACTAAGTGGGTGTGGGTTTTTGTTTTCCCCAGTAAACCTGTAGGAGTTTGAAGTTTTTTTGTTTTTTTTTTTCAATGAGCTTATAAGAGCATGTAAAAAATATATATAATATATATATTACATTTTACATATAAGTATATATATCATCTTTTCCCCAGTACCCAGCCTGGTGCTTAACACAGAGGGAACATTGGTGAAGTGAGTGTTGCCCACCCAGGGTCCACTCTAAGTTCCATGGTTCCTTGGAACGCGTTTCCCTGAATTCTCTTTTCTTACACTCTAGGGCCAGTTTGATCTAGCTATAGAGAAATAGACATCAGAGGGGAAGTCATTGATGTCAGGCCTACAATGAAAGTTCCAAGCAGGAAAGTACACCTCAGTCATGGGATGAGAATTTAGGCTTGCACTTGACTTCAGGACTAACTTCTGGGAATACATGAGGGGAGTGTCACAGGGTAAAGGATTTCTTCTTTGGCAAACCTCTTTTGGATACACTCTGGAGGGCATTTACATGTTTCAGAACCACACGTGTGCCCCCTAGAAACTGCTGTGAACTTACTTAGATTCCAGCGCTGGTTGTAGGTGATGCTGACCTTTTTCTCTGATACTGGTAAAAGTCAGCAGTATCCTAGTTACCTCTTACTTCCACCTGGATGTATTTGTGATGGGTAATGGGTTATGTCTGATGGTGGACAGTGTGTTCTTATTTAGCCTGTCCAGAGTCTCAAGAGTTTCTTCTTGGTCCTATAGTTCTGCAAGAGAAGCCCCCTGAAGTGGAGGAGAGAGTTGCCACTTAAAAGCCCATTCAAGGTCAGTTCATGTTTACTTTTTGTTCTGTCATGTAAATTTGTTTTACAGAACATTAAATATTTGCTGTCGTTCTAAATTGTAAGACCTAATTGTGAGCTGTCCATTTACCTGGTCCTCAGGTTACCCCTTCCCAATTAATAACAGCACCATAGGGATGGGTCCCCATCTCTTCCAATGCCTTTCCAAATACCCTTTTTCTTCCCAGTTAATATTCACATTGCTTTGGTAATTATTCAGTTTCCCCATGTGCTCTTTTCTTTCCAAAGGATGGTACAGAAATAGAACTAGTTGAACTCTTCAAGGATAAACTAAGGACTTATTTTAGAATGTGTTTTGTCAAGGAAGAGACTAGTGGTTAGGTAGAATAAAACACCACATACCTTTGATTTTATTCAGAGACTTGATTTTCAAACAAAGCAAGGTAGGAAATGGTTTGATTGATTTCAGTCAGTAAGACATTTTAGGAGTAGGAATATGGTTGGAGTTTTGTGAAGAGAGGTCTTTGTGAACAAGGGCAGGGAGTTTTTCCTGAAGAGTCCATGAGGAGATTTGAATGGTGACTAAGTCTTGAGATTTGGCAGTATGACTCTCTTTGAGACCGTATAGTGGTACAGACTGTGAGAGGCAGCATGATATAATGGTAATTGAGTCTAAAGCAGCACCTTCTGATGGAAATACAATGTAAGCCACTTGTGTAATTTATTTTTTTATTTTTTATTTATTTTATCCTTAAAATGAGGCCTTTATTTTTTTTTAATTTTTTTTATTAACATACAATGTATTATTTGTTTCAGGGGTACAGGTCTGTGATTCATCAGTCTTAGACAATTCACAGTGCTCACCATAGTGCATCACCCAGCCACCCCATCCTTCCCACCCCCCTCCACTCCAGCAACCCTCAGTTTGTTTCCTGAAATTAATAGTCTCTTATGGTTTGTCTCCCTCTCTGGTTTCGTCTTGTTTCATTTTTTCCTCCCTCCCCCTATGATCCTCTGTCTTGTTTCTTAAAGTCCTCATATCAGTGAGATCACATGATACTTATCTTTCTCTGATAGACTTATTTTGCTTAGCATAATACCCTCTAGTTCCATCCACATTGTTGCAAATGGCAAGATTTCATTTTTTTTTTGATGGCTGCATAATATTCCATTGTATAAATATACCACATCTTTATCCATTCATCTGTTGATGGACATCTAGGCTCTTCCCATAGTTTGGCTATTGTGGACATTGCTGCTATAAACATTGGGGTGCATATGCCCCTTCAGATCACTACATTTGTATCTTTGGGGTAAATACCCAGTAGTGCAATTGCTGAGTTGTAGGGTAGCTCTATTTTCAACTGTTTGAGGAACCTCCATACTGTTTTCCAGAGTTAGCCACTTGCATAATTTAAAAATTTCTTTTGCAGGGCGCCTGGGTGGCTCAGTTGGTTAAGCGACTGCCTTCGGCTCAGGTCATGATCCTGGAGTCCCGGGATCGAGTCCCGCATCAGGCTCCCTGCTTGACAGGGAGTCTGCTTCTCCCTCTGACCTTCCTCCTTCTCATGTGCTTCTCTCTCTCTCTCTCAAATAAATAAATAAATAAAATCTTTAAAAAAAAAAATTCTTTTGCACACATTTTAAAAAGTTAAAAAACAGTCAAAATTAAGCTGGATAATACATTTTTATTTTAATTTTTTAATTTTAACCAATGTATCTAAAATATTTCAACATGTAATAATATAAATAAGTTGAAATATTTTATTTATTTATTTTTAAAGATTTTATTTATTTATTCGACAGAGCACAAGTAGGCAGAGTGGCAGGCAGAGGGAGAGGGAGAAGCAGGCTCTCTGCTGAGCAGGGAGCTGGACATGGGGCTCAATCCCAGGACCCCAGGATCATGGCCTGAACCGAAGGCAGCCGCTTAACCAACTGAGCCACCAGGCGCCCCAAGTTGAAATATTTTACATTCCTATTTCATACTAAGTTTTCAAGATCTGCTACATATTTTACTGTTATAGCACTTCTCAGTTTGCTAAATTTTCAGTGGTTATGGTGAAAAGAATAAAATTGTGTTTAACTGAAAAACATTTTATATTGCTTTTGTATTTGAATTAAAAATTAAAATAAAATTGAAAATTCAGTTCCTTGTTCAGTCTAGCCACATTTCAAGGAGGTCAGTAGTTATTAATCTTTACGTTTTATAATCTTTTGTTGTAAGTGTAGATAATGATCATATTAATGCCTTACAGTTTTTATAAGGATTGTACACATTAATCTGGGCACAGCCCTAGAGCACTTAATAACAGCCATGCACTTAACAAATCCTCAAGAAACAAAACTGTTGTTATGTGAAGATTCAAGAAACAAAACTGTTATGTGAAGATTCTAAGTATTCACCATAAATTTTCTAAAAATCAAGAACAATGAAGATATAAAATTTATTTTGATGAGTATTTAAAAGGAATCTTTGAAAATCAGATTTGCTAACATCCTAGAGTAGAACTTCTTAACCTAGGGATGCCTGGGTGGCTCAGTTGGTTAAGGGAATGATGCCTTTGGCTTAGGTCATGATCCCAAGGAGCGTGGGGCTCCCTGCTCAGCGGGGAGTCTGCTTCTCCCTTTCCCTCTGCCTCTCCCCCCAGCTCCTGTTCATGCTCTCTCTCAAAAATAAATTGAAAACAAACAAAAAACACAGCAATCTTCTTAACCTAAGGTAAATTGACTCCCATTTTAGTTCTCACAGGGACCACAAATCTCTTGAAAGTCTATTCAAAATCATTCTATATAATGCCTAACATTTTTTATTTTGGGGGGTTGTTTTGTTTACAGAATATCTTGAATTTCATGGGGTTACATGAAACATATGTGAAAGCTTAAAAACTAAGTTAATCACATTACATAAATGTGATGTAATACCATACAGGTAAGAGAAACTATGTAGTCTTAAAAAAGGAAAATGACTGACATTAATATTATATAATATATTTACGTAAGAAAAAGAATACTCCAAATTATTAGTATTGTATATGAATCAGTTTTACTAAGATTGCATTTGTAAGCAATCTTGCAAGAAAATATCTAAAAGGAACAGAAGGAGAAAGGGTTTCATGTGTAGTTGAAGTACGAAGTTTTGATCCATAATCTTGGGTGAAAGCAATCTACCTTGATGTCAGCTACTTCTCTTCCTTGTTAATTTGATTTATAAATCTCCAGCATCTGTATGAGATCAGGTGTCATGTGGAACCTTCTTTGGTTGTGTGATATGTACCCAAGGCTCAATACCTTCTAGTTTTGCAGCAGTGTCAGTCAGTGGTCAGGAGCACTTGATAAGTAAGGCCCTCTTTACAACTGGCTCAAGGGCTGTCTTTTTCTGATGATTGTTGCAGAATACCCAGTTACCAGGCTCTATACTGACCAACCACACCCTTTGAACTGGGATCCAGGAAGCTTCTTTACCTGTTGATGATAAACTTGAGCATAAGACATTAGAGACTTAGGGTAGCAGGTCATACTAGCATGAGACAATAAAGCATCAGCAGAAGGTTATATAATGCTGGAATTTCAAGAAGTTGGTAAGGCTCATAGGATTTGTCCAATGAAGTGGGTGCCTTAATCACTGCAGATCGTGGAATGTATACCCCAAGTGGGAAACACACTTGTTAATAATATTTTTCTTTGCTACTTTGAAGCCTTGTGACATGTGAAGGCTTTAAGAGAAAACATGTACAATAACAATCCATACTGAGTGGCAGCTGAATGAATAATTGCAGGTGTTCAGAGGGTCCAGAGGGAGGGGATCTCAGGCCCCTGGGGACAAGAATAGTTTTTCCAGGATTATGGACCTGACAGATGAGGCATTGGCAGATTATTTTTGCAATTTTGCAGATGTCTCCCCACCAATGTCTTACTTACAATGAGTCATCCTAAATGCACTATGGTAGGTAAAGGAAAGCAAAAGACAAAATACAGGGTTTGTCAAGGAGTGGGGAAAAACCAAATAGCTGTTTTGGGTTTCCCATACCACTAACTGTTCCTTTAATTTACAGCCATTGTTTACCCATCTTGATTTCTTTGATTTCAGAGGAAACTGTTGCTGTTACAAGTACATCAGGATGGCAAAAGTATGGCAATGAGGGGCCATTTTTGCAAAAGCAGAATTGACTTTATCCATGTGTGTCTTAATCTTTATGATTGTGCTGCTATCTTTGATGAAAGCCAGCTTGATCACATATTAAAATTTCTTTCCAAAGATTCTTTTCTGACAAATCTACTACTTTCTTTTTTACATTTAGATATTGCCTTATGTTTTCCCTCTTTAACTAACCAGCCTCACTTTAGGACAAAATTACTTTCTTTTCCTTAACAAAAATGTATTTCCATTCCTCATGCTTTTTCTTAGCAAAACCACACATCTTTCTTTGCATAGAGTTGTTTCCCTTATTCTTTTCAGTAGTCTTAATTATATTTATTAGCATTCTTAACTCTTAGAAACCTTAATTTCTAGTGAAAATTAAGTAGTAAGCAAATGTGAACTGTCTGGTATATCAGCAATCTAGATTTGCAAATTTATGAACATATCACATAAATTCTAGAGGCATACGCTTTTGTGTTTCATGCTTTTCATACTCTTACTTATGGTCTTTCCTTTCCACTCAAAGATTCCCTTTAATATTTCTTAAAGGGCTGGTTTAGTGGTCATGAACTGCTTTTGTTTTTGTTTGTCTGAGAAACTCTATCTCTCTATTCTGAATGATAGCCTTGCTAGGTATTCTTGGCTGCAGATTTTTTCCCTTTCTGCATTTTGAGTATCATGCCACACTGCAATGTTTCTTTTTTTTTTTTTAAAGATTTTATTTATTTATTTATTAGAGAGAGAGAGAGAAACAGCATGAGACGGGAGAGGGTCAGAGGGAGAAGCAGGCTCCCCGCTGAGCCGGGAGCCCGATGTGGGACTTGATCCCAGGACTCTGGGACCATGACCTGAGCCGAAGGCAGTTGCTTAACCAACTGAGC